ATGACAATCATTATAATTGTTCTGTGACATCGAAACCCTGAGATCTCTGTAGAATATAATCTTGATAATGATTTTTTTTTCTTACCAAAATAAAATGCCTTAGGATAAAGTAACAATAGGTGTTTTTTTTTTACAGTTATGCTGTTTCAGTTAGATTTTATCTTCGCATTCGTTCACCTGATTGTTTGATTGTCATCGGTTTCGGAGTGGAATGGTAATAGTAATAGCGAAAAAAAAGTTCTTTTATATCCGGACAATGAATACTGTTCCCTTTGAGGTAAAATACCATGTTTGCCAAAAAACAAGATCAGCTGATCTCTTTCAAAACACTGACACAATGCGAGTGTTTAGAAAAGTGGAATGTCACGTATAGTATAGAACGGTTCACAATAGGTACTCGGTGACCTGTTAATTTAGTCGTCCGCAGTTTGGGGACATATTTAAAAACTAAGATATGAGCTGCAACTTGTACAACATTGTCTTTTGGATATGTTTTAGTTTAAAATAAAAAACACAATCTGTGCAAATGAGACCACTGGACTAGTTGCGGCTAGATGTAAACAATGTTGCTGAAAACTGGAATGTATATGAATAACGATAGAAATGTGACAATACTGCTAGACCCCCTCTCAAAAGCTATTGCCGATCTTTAATTCTTTCATGTAAATGCTGTTTATAACATTGAAAGTCTTGCCTTAGCGTGTGGACATGAGAGCCGTACGTCCTGCAAAACGTAAGTTTTTACACTTATAAGGCAATCCTTACCGTGTGTACCGGCCCTTAGTCAGACTTATGAGGCTCGAAAAAACCGTGTATTAATGGTGTACACATGGTACGGCTAGAACTTAAGTTCCATGACTTATAAGGCAAGCCTTATCATGTGTACCGGCCCTAAGGCAAGACTTACTTAAGCATTGAAGTATGATAATTTGTCGGCACGGCCAGGTGTGTTATAGAACCAAAGACATCTTAAAATATGAATTCAATGCTTATATTTACATTATCTAATTTTTACTCTTCATAATTTTTTATTTCGGTAATCTTTAATGTGAATTTAGCGCCCTTCAAAACTGGTGTGCTTTATAGACGTAAGACCCGTTTTTGACATTTGTGACGTTGCAAAGTTAAATAACGCGAACGAACATTGCGAGGAAAAAAGTGACAAATTTATTATAAACGCACATTTTTTGTATTTTTACGTTAATTTAACAGGGTTAGTATTTTTTTATTAAATTGTGTCAAAACAATGTACATTTTTGGTATTCCTAGAGTATTGAAATGTATATAGTTGCTACAAAATAGGTCTGCTAATAACGGGGCTCAATTATTCAAAACTGACATGATTTGCACTGTTTCTGGCTCCAAAAAGCATAGTATTTCTGTAAATATTGTTTATAATCTTGAAAGTGTTGCCTTAGCGTGTGTACACGAGAGCCGTACGTCCTGCAAAACGTAAGATTTTACCGCCCTAAGTCAGACTTGTTAGGCTCGAAAAAGCGTGTATTAACGATGTACACACGGTAGGCTAGAACAGAAGTACCATGACTTATAAGGCAAGCCTTATCGTATGTGCCAGCGCTTTTATGCCCCCCCCCCCCCCCCAGACAAAGTGCCGAGGAAGAGTAAGAATCTCCTGATGCCTGTCACACCTGCTGCACATGTATGTCATATGCATTGATCAAGTTGACGGAAGATATGGTAATCAAATGTAATACAAAAACAAAGCAAGAACAAGTCTTATGAAACAAGCAAGTCAAAATATATATACCCAGTGATAGGTTATACTCCATGGCACATGGTCCTACCTCTGATGTTTTGGAGGTCCGTTTTTGCTTTGCTCCTATATTTTGTATTGTTTTAAGGACTTTTGATCTTGAATACTGTTCGTTATCTCCCCATGATTCCTTGCTTAAACAAGGTCATAATAACGACCAGAGAATTTACGAAATGCTGACTTTAAACAAGGTTGTTGAAATTCCTGTGACTTATCTGTCAGTTGCCTGTCATGGTTGATACTGGAATATTAATTCATAAATAATAAATGTTAATGATGGGAAAAGTGGAATCATGAAACATATGGAGATAACGAACAGTATTCAAGATCAAAAGTCCATAAAACTATACAAAATAGGAGCAGAGCAAACACAGACCTCCAAAACATGAGATTTGGAATCAGGTGCCATAGAGGAGTTATTATCCCCTGCCGACCGGTCACACCCGCCGTGTGCTCCTTGTCATGGTCGGGAAATAACGGGAAAATCTGTAGTCAATTCAATGTATAAATAATGGACTAACAATTAGTATGAAAACCTGAGACAGCATCTCGTTTGTCATGAACTTTAGTCGTTATAAGTCGCCTTTAACGTCTTCAATTAATAAAACTACCAAATAAATAGATGAAAGAGATCTAGCAGACTTTGAGGTGTCTTTTCTTTCAAGTTCACTATAAATGGAACAGTTATTTTTAATAAATAAAAAGTTGTTGATATATCTGAATGTCGTGTAGAAGAAATGAAAAATTGTGAATAAATTATTCTCCATAGGAATTCAAAACCATTAATAGTAATGGTAATATAATAGAGGAAGGCAATTCGTGCTAATCAGGATTAAAGATGTTGTTGAGGTCCTTGTTTGCCACGCTTCTATTCCCTATTGTTCCTTGTTTGTCAGGGTCCTATGTCCTATTGTCCCACGAGACTTTTGGATTTGATAAAGTTCAATTCTTTACCTTCACACTTCTTTCCAAACATAAATGACATTTCAGACTTCAATTTAAATTCCAATCAGACTTTTAATTGCACAATAAACAAGCGTACTCTTGTAGATTTAAAAGACTAATGCATATATTTAGGGCAAGGTGACCTATTTGAGTTCGAATGATTTAAATTTACTTCCTTTCTAAGTATTTGGTGAACTATTTCAGGCTAAATTTTTTAAAAAGCAGATTTTTAAAAAAGACTGGAACACAAATTATCAAACACAAATTTTTAGTCAAATGAATTTTCATCTAAACTATTAGCTTTACATATAAAATTTATGTACAAAGATTGGTATCTTTACGCATATATATTTGTATTTTCACCAATGTTTATATGAAACCAAATACAGAGCTCATTAAGTCAGACATATTTATACAAATCGTTTGATTCTATTTATAATGGTGGCATAAAAAGAAAACATCCGCCTGATATTTTTCTCTATTTTTCTCCGTGTGTTTGAGTGAGGGTGTGATGTGTTCTCGTGCAGAAGCATGGATATCAGTGATAATGCAGTGCAACTATACCAGTAAAGATAAGGAAAAAATTGCAATTTAACATTTAAGGACAGTTTTGCTTACATTTAAAAGAAAAATAATAGCGTGGATTCTATTCTACGAGAGCAAAAAATAAATTTATTTTAAAAATCGTTTAACCCAATGCTAATTTTACACAACAACATTTGTTTTTAGAGTTTAAAAAATTGATTAACTAATTATCACTAGAATTGAACAGCGATTTTTAAAAAAAAAATTGCATCATTAAATGCAAACTGCAAATTTAAACGGAAAATATATCAATTTTCAGTGTATTTGTTATTCGCACCACTAACTTTTCTAAATAGAACTATTTGAATACGCAAGTAAGCAAGTACATTCTCGTTCACTGATTTAAATACATTAAACTACTTCACATGTCGTTCATAATTCTCAACGACATTGAAACTTCCTAGTTCAAGTTTCCTTTTGCTCTCCATTATCCCTTTTAAATTTGGCAAAATGAAGACTAATCTTATCCTTCTATTCATTTTACAATACATGAAGGGAATTGGATGCTGCGATAACTTCTGTGAATGGAGTTCTTGGACTCAGCAAGGGGCTTGTGAAAACAAGAGAATGTTGCAGAAGAGGACTTTATGTTGCCCATCGAAAGATCAGAAAAACTGCCTTGAAGTTTGTGAGAGGGATATGAAAGATTCCTTTCGATATGTTAACTGTGACTTAAGTAAGGATCATATTAATTTACACATGCAGTAGAGGGTAAAGAAAGGGAAAATAATATGAGTAGGTAAAATATCTTAAATATACATTGTATGCACTGAAACATTTACAATTTTCAAACTTAATTTTGAAAATTTAATATTCCTTAGATGGCAACAAATGGCAACAGTTATTTCAAATGAAATTATATTTTAATAAATAAAACTGTTTATCTCTTTTTTATTTTAAAAACCATTTGACTACATTCGAACGTTTAACTACAAAGATTATTTTCTGAATGAACTCTTCATCAGAAAACTTTCATTTCATCTTGTCTAACTTTGTCTTTTTCGGCTTTATTGACGTGCAAAACATTCAGAGATCAAATTCTAGTATATTAACATGGCATCGATTTGAACACATTTGGCACAGTTCTCTAAAGACGATTTAATCTCTTTTTTTCGAAAACGAAATTTGGTGGGAAACCAGTCTTGAAGGCAAGAATGGTTTTCTAGAATTTGATTCTTGAAAGTTTTGCACTTCAACAATGTCGAATAAGACAATATCAGGCCAAATGAAATATCTAAGGAATATTTAATTTTTAAACTTAAGTTTGAAAACTGTAAATGTTTCAGTACATGTATTTTAGATATTTTTTTTTTGCTACTCTTATTATTAGTATCGTATAAATTCCTTTTCTTGGCCTTCCCTTTCATGTGTAAATGAGGGTTTTTTTTACATTTTAGCCCAAATGGGGAAGTCAATCGCAAAATAATTAAGTACTTTTCATTTATTTATTTTCATGTGATTTTAAGATTTACGATTTTTCTTTCCCGTTAAATCATTTGGAACACTGTGTACATGTACATGTATGAATTCACAGTCTCCGTTTTTAAAAGCTATACATAGTGTAATTCAGTAGGGAATCTTTTGTTGATTATTTCAAATAAATTCATTTTCTAATGTAGAAACATCTGTGATTGAAAAATATGAACAGGAATCTTCTTCGGCAATGGCATTCTTTAATTCTTTCCCACATCGACGACAAAAGAGAGGCGTGTCTGAGGAGTGTCGAGAGGGGTGTAGCTATGAGGAGGTCGACGAAGTGTTTCATTGGTCATACGTGGTGAGTTCTAGCTTTTACAAATCGTCGCCTGCGTGGCTCAGTGGAATCTAGCGGTTAGAGTCGCGAAGTAAGGAGTTGATACTTGTGTTGCGGGTTCAAATCCCACTGTGGGTCGTGGAAACCAGTCTCGCGGATAAAACCGTATAAACCGAGGTCCAGTGTTGCTACTTAAGATGCTGGACCGAAATAAAAATCCCTCAGCTTTCAATTGCCCTTAGTGCCGAATATAGGTCAAAATTTGCTGCTCTCCACCATCACGTGGTGGTGTCTCCATATGAGTGAACAATTCTTAAAGGGTACGTTGAACAACCACAAAACAAAACATATTCTAGAAATCCGAATTTTATCTTTGCCAAACTTTTCGAAGCATTAAATGAATATTTTTTTATTGACATCCTCTTCAAAATATATACATATAATTTGCATTATCATAATGTTGAGTCTGAAACTGGGGGGAAACGACACATCACTATTCATGAACTACATGTGTATTATATTTTATAAAATAATGTATGCAATTAAGCTCTGAATGCAGTTTATTGGTTAAAAGGTTTTAATGATATAATTCTACCGATCTAATTCTATTAAACTACCAGACGTTTATTGCTCTTCCTTAGTGTACATACATGGAGAATTACAAGTGTGGCAGAATGTATTGTCCACCTGGAACCATATGTAAGCCTACCAATTATGGACATTGTGGACATCTCAACAATGTTGTTGTGGAATGCAAAGGTTGGTCTTACCCGCTCCGAATGTGTGTTTCTATTTTCATTGAAATAAAAATAGTCCTTTGTTTATATCGTATTTCTGAAACTATGAAAAATTTTTATACCATATATAAGTTACATTAACTTCAGTGTACATGCAAAGTTTGGGGGAAATCTATCGTCCAGGTATTTTTGAGGGACCGTCTCAAAATACAGGTACATTTACTATAGGATTATATAGGAAAATGCCAATTTTTTGCACTTTAAAGCAAATTATACAAATACTACAATAGACATTTTGTTCAAACTATAATATTTGATGAGTAATACTATATTGTACATTATATCTATATGTAAGAAACACAAAATTCTACTGTCTTGTTACCAGAGGGGGCATCTCGAAATGCAAAAAATTAGCAAATTTTACTATTTTTATAGAGTATTACAAAATATGACGTACACAATGGATTCACATGAAAACATAATAAAAATATTGGAGATATTCTCAAATTTCTATGTTTTAAATTTCAAGAGCGTATGTTTATTACTTTTCCTTTAATAATATTTTTATTACCCCTTAGCTATAGATTTTCATAAGGCCAAAAACACACTGCCACGACGTCAACCTACCTATCAATTGCAAAATCGGTTAAAAAATTAATTATATCAGATTGTAATTACATTTTTAGACTTATAATTTCTTAATTTTGTTTAATTTTAATAATTAATCGAAAAAAGTTGCATTAAAACAGTAAATACGCCTCATTTTACTATGATGCGCGAAATATTGCGCAATGGAAACTATAGTCGGTCCCCTTAAATGTCGACATTTTTATTAAAATAAGTTTTACAAAATCATTTATCCAAATAAATATTTTCTTCAATTTATCACTAGGGATATCAAATGTTTACACTTGACCGGCATTATTTTTAAGGTCACGTGATACTTATTTACTTTTTGGCCTCCTGAAATTTGATTTGAATTACATTACTCTTTCTAAATTTTCTCTTAATTCTATCTGATAGGTTTAGTTTTATATACAAAAAACGCTAAATTTTCGACTGAGTTTACTTATTTCCTTTGTTGTATCAGAATTTCTTGAAATTTTTACCGGACACACTTTAACTTATAGGAAGATAAAAAGACTTTTTGAACAATTTGAATTCATTGTTCCCGATTAGTTTATTAAGTTAAGGATAAATGTGAATCATCAACTCTTAATGGACAGGTTGGAGATGGTGGTAAAATTGCGTAAATGGAGAAATTAGAGATAATTAAGCTTGCAGCAAAAATACTCAAATATGTCATAATTAACATCTTTTTCAAACAAATCAACGAACTGAAAAATTAAAGAACGATTTAGATCTATAGATTAAACTATATTGCAGAGCTAAAATAGGTTATTTAAAGTCTACGAAACGTCCGTTTTAAATTTAACATTTAACATATAAATGAAACAACAATTGATGCATCTTCATGAAAGCTAGACACGTTTTATGTAGAACTGATTTAAATTTCTATTGATCAGATATCGATGAGTGTGCCAGCAATCCATGCCAAAATTTAGGAACCTGTCACAACTTGCTGAATGCCTTCCGGTGCTCATGTCCACCTAATTACTATGGAACTCTGTGTGAATGCAGTAAGTGAATACATTTTGATGGAATAATATGGAAGTACATGTATTGTCATAGTCAAAAAAGAGGATGCATTACTAGTAAATATTTTCTGATAAGAAAAAGCTACAAAAATGTATATTAAGTCTTCCTTACCCATTAATAAATATTTTAAAGCATTTACATGTATTTCAATTTTCTGTCATTTTTCAAATTTTTTGACTATTTTAAAAGCAAATAATGAGTTTAAAACTGCTAGTATGGGTTGCAATGTTCTTATCAAATTAATCGAAGACGTTTGATACTATATGCTCCGAGATTACTGAAGCTATAAGGTGTCTTCACTTGTTCTAGATCTGTTTATATTTTAGCAATGTCCTATTTTTGCTTTTATTTCAGCATTAAAAATATTGTAATTTGTGATTTATGCAACTATAATTCGGTATCTGGGTGTTTTACCCAATTTTGATAGAGTGGATTCTTTTGAAATCTCTTTAACATCAATTTATCAGCGCGCAGCGCGTAACAACTAGTCTGTGAAGTATTTGCTTACAAGGCAATTAAAACGACCATACAGCTACAAAATGATAAATTTAAGAGAGGAGTTAAAGTTTCTGTTACATCAACTTACCTGTCAGTAACCTACCTTAGTTTAAAAACTCATCGTACATTTTTATTGAGAGATTCTTCGTGTTTCTGGATTTCAGCATCTGATTTGAATCCCTTTCCAAATATACTGACACACAATTCAACATGTAAACGATAAAGAAAATGTTAATCGACTTAACTTAAAGTAAAAAAAATATATTAAGTAAAAGAAAATGTTCGTTAATAAGGAGATCATTGTTGAATACCCACTGGCGATCTCGTCTTAATGATATACTTTAATTTGTTAGACAAAAGCAAATAAGACAATGTACATGATGTATGGCAACAACTGTTGACACTTATTTGCTTCCGTACTGGAATATATGGTTTTGCTTTATTTCGGTCAGCTAATGCTGTAATACATGTTGAATTGGACTACACGCATGCAATATCGAAATATTTGAATATAACCTTAAGTAAGGTATCGAAAAATTATCATAACTTTAAAAAACACTGAAGTAAAAAGATGAGTTACTTTAAAAACAAAATGCATTAACAAAAAAAAAATAATAAATTTAAGTAAAATAGATAAAACAGGATTAATTACTACTATTTTTTTTTTTTGGCTTTTAGTGAACCCACCTTTGCCCTCCTTTGACTGTAATTGTGAGAACTGTAAACTTGGATCTGTAGCAGGAAAGAGCTGTAAGTAAACAGCGTCTTGTATATAGAACATACATTACACACATAAATTATCATAAACAAGATAAGAATTGCTCCTAGTTAAAATTTCAGTTTTAAAAAATAATATTGCAAAAAGTGGTAAATTAAGAGATATTTTCTTTTATTGATATAACAAGCAAATTATCAATTCCATATAAAATTAAAAAGACAAACTTATTGTATAAGACATCTTATTGCTGCTTTCTATTTCCAGTGTGTCCGTATATCGACATCTTGTTTTTAATTGATGATTCTGAAAGCATGTACTTAGAGGGTTTTCAATACGCTCAAAACGTAATCATAAAACTCATAGATTGCTTCAACATTGGACTTAACGATATACAAGTAGCACTTATGACTCATAGTTCGTCAACGAGAATTGTTTTTGATTTTAACTCGTATTTGACTAAAACAGATATCAAAGATGCAGTTTTAAAAACATCATATAGAGGTGATACAAACACTTATTATAGTAACACTCTCGATCAAGTCAGAACATTTTTGACATCTAATTCGAACAAAAGGCGCCATGCAATGAACATAGTTGTGGCAATGACAGATGGAAAACAACAAATAATTTTTTGACCAATGCACAAAATCTTCACAATTCTGGGACGTATGTATTCGCATTTGGAATTGGTGGTGATTCTTCACAACTTCAACCAATCCTGGAAACTCTTGCCAGCAATCCAAACTCCGAATTCATAGCCAATGATTTCCTTGATTTACACAGAAAACTATCGGACTTTACAAATAACTTATGCATAGGTAAGTATTTTAAATTCAGAAGAAATATTTCATTCCAAGAAGTCTTTCTAAAATCTTGAAAGCTCAACTACTGTTTTCTGTAGGGGAAGTGCATCCAGATATCCTGACATGCGAATTAAGAGTATCAGACAATTTTGGCCAAATAAGCCAATCCCCATCGATTGGTCCTTCCACTTGTTCAAATCAGCAAGACTTCTACGGAAAACATCAAGTTGATAGCGTGACTGGTCATCTAATGATCGATGCCAAACACGTCCAATACAAACATAACGTGACAGTTGATGATTTTGGATTCGGAATTGTTGAAGTGTACTTAGACTTCATAAAACAGACTGCAGCAGGTACATCCTCAATTGTTTCACAAATATCACAGTTCAGGCCTTAGTAAAAACAATCAATATTGATCGACTTTTTTATTTTTTAGGAACTGAACAAATTTTAAAATCTTCTACTTTACGAAATTTTACGGTAAAGAATATCCCCCCTTTGTTCTCCATTGAAGTTAATGAAACAAACAGCGAAGCACTTCACAACGGAAACAGGTAACAAATATATCACGTAAAGTACCTTCCATTGACCCTTTCTAAATTTACCCTCTGTGTGGAGTATTGTTTTCTTTTAAGTGATATACTTTTAATATGTCTCTTTAATATTTTTCTTTCAGATTTTGTTTAAAATATAGAGCTTACGCGGGTGGATATGTAGTGTACAGATCTCATACGTATATATATGGTAAAACGGAAGCTGACAGAATGCTTTGCTATTTCTTTGATAACCTGGCGCCAAAGCATTGCTCAGATCTCATCGCATGCAATAGTACACCCCTTAACATTTCAAAGGAAGTAACAAATTCCTCGGAACTCTCTGTTACATTCCTTGGATGGAAAGATTATGATTTTGCAGGGGCTAAAACAATTTATGCATCAGGAATACAACATTTTGAAATATTCTTGCACGAGATGGAATACGATGGATTAAAGTTGAAAGCAAAACATTCATCTGTTTTAGGCAAAATACAATGCTCTAATTGTACGTCCTTCAGCATTCATATACCAGCAACGTCCAATCCAATGCTATATTCTGTGGTGCTGGAAGTTGTCGATATTGCTCTTAATTCTCGTCAAGCAAGACGTTTTGTTTTGTTTGATAATTCATCAAAAATCTTATCTCATTCAAACAAAGCTTTGAGTGTAATTTCAGCATCGGTCGCGACAGGTTATGTCTGGCAAACGAATCATCGAACTCTCTGTTACGATTGGACTGGAAAGTACTATAATGATAAGTATGTTCATTACAATCCAATGAGTCCGATTGATCCTGGTGTACACAATACTTTTTCAGGTATTTATGAGCAAACTTCAGGACACTTTCGTCCTTCTGGAACTCCAAACGTAAGAGGGATAACCCATTTTAAGTACAAGGTAGCGAAAAGATCTGATGGTCAGTTCTCAGTGCTTTCGACTGACCAAATGATTCCAAATATTTTAAACGAAGGCGTCTGTGTGAATATTTCTAATTTGAAAGATGGGGATGAGGTGTATTTTGAACTTTCAATGGGTGATGTTGTAGAAAACGAATTGTCTGATAATGTCACAGTATTTATTGACGAATCTCCGCCTGTAATAAGAAATGTCTGGCTAATTCGAGATGAACAGGAAATGATTTATGTTCATAATCAGACGGATATATCAAAAATGAACTTAACCTTTCAAACATTTGACATCCATAGCGGATTGGATCATATTTCTTGGACAGCTGGTTGGACGGAAAATCAAGAACATTTTGCAAACAAGATTCTTGGGGTGAAGCCAATTCAGGTAAGAAGACATCAAGACAAAAGTCTCTAGAGTAATGAATGGTGAAAAGGCAACATTAAAATGTAAAGCCCAATGAAATCTTTATAGGAGATCTTCAATATTTATCTTCTAAATCACTGTGGCACAGTGGTTAGTGTGACTGCTATAGAGTCGCGACGTAAGGAATTCTCTCTCTCTATCTCTCTCTCTGATCCTTCTCCGGGTGCAAATCCAAATAAAAAAAGATTTAAAAAAAAAAGAAGACATCAATATAAAAAGTCTCTAAAGTAATAAATGGTGAAAAGGCAACATTAAAATGTACAGCCCAGGACAAAATTTCTTCACTGTGGGACAATATTTATCTATTAAATCACTGTGGAGACTGGTCCTTCGGATGGGACCGTATTTATAAACCGATGTCCCGTGTCGCAGTAGGTGCTGGCACAAAAATGATCCCTCCCTGCTCAATGGCCTTAAGTGCCGAGTATAGGACAAAATTTGCAACTCTCCATTAGCAAGTGGTGGTATGTGAGGGAAAAATTCCCGAGAGGGATGTAAACAAAATACAGTCAATTAATCTAAATCACTACCTTTTCTCCCAAGAAACTAACATTGAATTCTATGATTAGCAACAATCTAAAAAATCAAAACGATATCTGTTCCCATTTTTGTCGATAATATAATATACCTGTACATGTTATACTATATCTCTTTCTGGTTTGAAAATAAACCTTTCCTAACATGTTTTACTTTAGGCATGTGATAATGGATCACATTGTTACTGTACACCGTTTGGATATTGTGCCAGATACAATTTTTCGTTGGATTTGAACTCTCTTGTTATGAATAATACCCATATAGGACAGCATCATCGCAATTATACTTTCGAAATTATGGTAACAAATAAGGCAAAGCTACAATCAAAAAGATCAGTGGTCATTTTAATTGATGAATCTGCACCTGAACTCGGAGTTATTCAAGAAGGGGAATCCAGTAAACCTGATTTGGATTTCACAGCGACAGAAAATATCACAATCAGTTGGAAAGGCTTCCTTGATCATGAAAGTGGGATACGATTCTACAGAATAGCAGTCTCCAACTCATGCATTCCAAAGTCGGTCATGCTACAAAAAGACCTACAAGTATCTTTCTTTGAAACGTCTGAAACTTCTCTTCGAGCTACATTGCCAAATGTTGGAAAATACTTTGCATCTATCGTTGCATTTAATAATGCATTGGAATCATCTGAAGTAGCATGCAGTGATGGCATAGTTTTCGATGAAACACCGCCAACAATCAGAGCTGTAACCGTAGAAAACCTAAATATGTACCCAAAATATGCATGTGGAAAAGATAATAATGTATGGCTCATAACAGAATCGATCAAGAAGATTAAAACCAATTGTACATGTACAACTTTGGCAAACAACGTTTTGGACATCATTCCAGTAGATGAAAAAGTCAATTATACGATCGACTGTTCTGGAAATATTACAACAAATGAACCTTTACATTTTTATCTCAATAACGACCGGATATATATAAACTGGAGTATTCTTGATGATGAAAGTTCTGTACATGAAGTTTATGTTGGGTTCGGGTCATCCTTACTAAACAGTGAAACACCGGACATAATAGGATATACAAAATCTTCTCATAAAACTTTCTATCACAAACGACATCTAGGTCTTCATATAAATAATTACTTTTATATATTCATAAAAGCTGAAAATAATGCTCTGATGGAAACTGTTGTGCATATAGGACCCGTTTTAATTGACGAAACACCACCTACATGCTTTAAGAAACCAGAGGTCGTAATATCTGATGGATTTGTAACAGTGTACTGGAATTCAAGCTTTTTCTTTGATGTAAACCAGATTGAAACAGTAAAGAAAATCTTCTACAGATTGGGTAAGTTTACATATTCTTTTGAAATCCGTATAATTAAATTAAGTCAAATAGTCTAGATCACCTAATTTTCACACCATATTTTCAGGAGAATTTTATTTGGTATTTATAAGCGACACAAAGGTTATGCGGATTTCGGTCATATCTCTGTATAAACTTTGATAATACTATTATACGCAAGAATGAAGTTTTCGCGAGCAATTAACGAGAAAATAAAGTTATCGCGAAGAAAAAGAGATTTATAGTTATGTATATTTCATTTTTTTTTTCTAGGAACAAAGAGTCAAATGGTCTCAACATTTTCAAAATGGGAAGAACAACTTTCAACTTCATGTCCAAAGAGTTACGAATGTCTTAGTTTAAATCTAGAGGACGTACAGACAATCTTTTCTGATACCCATGAAGATTTTATTTTTGACTTCCATGTCTACAATGCTGCAGGGTTGTTTTGTGAGATACAGTCTGTGCATTTCAATATTCCATTTAATTCTCAAACATTTTACGGAAAACTGTACGATTTAAACCCTTTACTTGCAGGAAATTTAACGCTGAAAAATATGCAGGACAGCAATTTTACATTTTCAAACAGTTCTTTCTGTGTTGGATACCATGGCACTTTTCCACAATCTGATGCAGTGTATGAATTTGCTGTTAATTCAAATACATCTCAACTGATGTACGATAAAGGAAATATTACTGTAATAGATCAATCTCTTTTCACGTATTGTAATTTTAACATACCGTTAGAATTCTTTAAGCAATACACTATAGCGATGAAAATGACCTCTTTGTATGGAGTCCTTGAGACAAAAACAAATGGATTTATTAGTATTGACCAGAGTGACTCCTCATTAAATCTGACAGTTCAAGATGGAAAGGGTTGTGATGAGACAACCGTTATAACACGGATCTCTAATACCGAATTTATAAATAATACAGTTTACATTCATCCCAAATTAACAATTGGACACCACTATACACTATTTGTTATTTCCAATGACTTCAATTATAACATATCAAGTAAGGATGTAATAATATCTTCTGTTACGACATTCAAGGATTTTATATCGTTTATTCCAATGGAGGAGCATCCTTCTTTCATCATCGAAGGACTTTCGGAAAATATGAATTTGTCTGAGCTTATACTCCATAAATGTATAAAAGATCTCGAACTCGTACAAAACATGGATAAGATATCAGCAAATTGGAAGGTGCATGGACCAAGCTCCAAATTCATAACAAGTTATGGAATAGCTGTTCATTACTCTTGTTCATTACAGAAAAATTGCAATGAAACAATTTTATTTAGAAGAAACGTTGAAAAAACATTTTCGTCATCAATTCTTACTGGTCCTTTGAGAGACGGCTTTTATCAAGTATCGATAAAACCATGTTTTGGAGATATCTGTTCTAAATCATGGAAGTCCAATGGATTCTATATAGAAAAGTTTGACATGAATATAGGACGTCTGTCTGCATCACTTGACTTGTTGGATAATGAATGTCCTGTAGTTAATATCAAATTTCAGAGGTTTGTTTGTAGTGCAAAGGTGAAGAAATATGCAGTTTTCTATAAATGGGCTTTCTTTGGGGACAACAAAGGAGAAAAACAACTAACAACATATAAATCTGTGAATGCCGCAGTTAATGATACAATATCTGTAAGTATCGTTGATCAACTTTCTATTATGACTGTTGATTGATTAATTATATTGTTGTTTAGAGCGAGTCGGCAATAATTCAGCCATAGTTCGGAGGTTTTTATAATTGAGTGATTTTTTTATATTTTTTTCTGAATAAATGTCATGTTTATTATTTTTACAAGGTATCGACCTGTGTCCATTTGCCAGTTTACCCTCACGGAGAACTTTATCTCTGTGTGAAAGGATTTTGTGAATCTGGTCTTTCGTCCTTGCAGTGTTCAATGGCATGGATAAAACAGCACCCGAACGAGTTTCCAAAATCTGTTGTTTACGATCTAAATTTGAAAACTTTACCAATAGAAAATCTAGATGATTATAGATTTACATCTACCATAGGATCGGATATGATAAAAACACTTCATAAACATGAGATGGACTTCACAAACAAGAGTTGGTTTCAGCTAGGAGGATTTACCATTGGAACTGGACGGAATCATGTACAATGGACCGTAATGACGGAGAAAAGAGTTCCTACTGATTGTCTGACAGATGTTTCTTGTATTTATCAGGAAATCACTATAGGGGGATTCGCGCGGTTTCACACTTACTTAGGTTTACGAACGGGCGAAATTTATTACTTGTGTGTGAATGTAACCAAAGGTTGTAGTGACGGATTTGTGATCGATAATGTTCCACCATCATCGGGAAATGTAAAAGTCCACAATCATCATAACGGTTATATAAACTCGAATTCTACAGTCACTCTTCTGTGGCATGGCTTTGTTGATGGATCACATTTCAAGGAATTCCTTTATCCATCTGCTATTGAAAGATATGAAATGGCAATAGGTAAAACGTGTGCGTTTATCACTAAAAAGAAATTAAGCTGGTATCATAATTTTCTATAGAGAATGTATTGCACACTTTATTGTCTGTATGGATTTTGTTTTTGTTTTTGAGGTACTCATCTTAACAGTCAAGATGTTTTGTCCTTTACGCATTGTGGTTTATCGGAATCATCGGTTCTAACAAATGTGACACTTACCAACGGAATGACCTATTATTTTTTCATCAGAGGTATGAAGATGTTTCTTTAATAACAATAAAAATACAACGAAAATTACTCAGCAACTATTTTTGTTAGATGTTCATCTACGTTCAAATATACTGAAGATTTATTTTTTATACAACTGCAGCTTTTGATCATGCTGGAAACTACATCACATCATCTTCCGACCCATATATCTTTGATTCTACCCCTCCAACGACAGGAATGGTAACCGTGGGGAGTTATATCAAAAGCTTAACGATGGTCAATCCCGGTAATCTGATTGCTCATTGGTCTGGTATGGAAGATAGGGAAAGTGGAATCGAAAAATATGAGCTGGGAATTAGGTCTTTTAACGAGCAGGTTTCAGCATATTATTCCGTGAACAAAAACACATATGCTGATCTTGAGGACTATTTTTCATTCATTGATGGTCATCAATATCGTATAAATCTAAAGGTACTTGAAAGTATAAAACATTGTTGGAATCTTTTTAACTTCGAAATTCACCAATGACTATAAATTTATTTTAATTGTTAATATCTGTAAGAGTTCTTTTCCTCATTTTATAATTTTAGCAATAGTAGATATCATTTTTCTAGATATTACTTTTGATGTTTGTTTAGGCATGGAACAATGCTGGATTATACACCACTGTGTCATCAGCTCCGTTTATCTTTGACGCATCGCCGCCTTTGGTTGGCATAGTTCGGGATGGTCCTTTAGAAACTGGGGTAACTGTATGATTTATCAATACATGTATTAAAATACCTTTCTTATTATAGAATAACAAATCTACGAATTTTCAAAAAAATGGAAAGAGTACAAAATGTATCTTTTTGTAGCAATAATCAAGCTGAGCTTTGTAAACAAAATCGTTTAACCTTTTACGTTGCTGAACATTTCAAGTTTAATTTATCTCAATCTATATCATAAAATCTGTAAAAGGAGTGTTTATTAAAACCAATTATTTCGTTATCGTTTTCAATTAATTTTGATGTAGATATTTTCTTCTCTTCAGGTTGATTTGATGTTCAGTAGTAATGCCTCAAGCCTATCAATACATTGGACAAATTTTCATGACCCCCACTCCATGATTTCAAACTACCGTGTCGGCCTTGGAACTGCCTTTAAGAAGACAAACATAATACCAATGACTGATGTTGGTTTACGAGAAGGTAAGATCGAAACCTCTGTAGATTTTATTTTACTAATGAATTTAAGTTTTCGCACCAACTAGTTGTTTTTGCCTTTTCGATCTAGAATGGACCTGGTTCAAAAGTTTCAGAACAGGCGTGAAATATTTTGCAACCGTCGAATCATGTAATAAAGCAGGTCTCTGCAGTGGTGCATCTTCTAATGGTATCATCCTTGATGATTCACCTCCGATACCTGGGAGGGTTCTAGTAGGGAGAAACAACGACAGATATGTACCTGACAGGTATGGTGCTATGCTTATAATTCAGCCGAATGCTGATATGCTCGAAACGATGAAAAAAGACTGATTTTTTATGCTTGTTTTTTTTCATTTTTCAGCAAAACATTACGTGTGTCATGGGTAGATTTTATCGAAGCAGAATCGGGAATTTTACAATACTTTGTGTGTTTAGGCTCAAAAAAGTTTGTCTGTGATGTGGAATCTTGGAAAAATAGTAGACATGAATCTTCAATTTTACTCTTCAATTTAAACCTACCACAAAATCAGACCATATATGCGACCGTTAAAGCAGAGAATAAAGCTGGGTTGACGTCATCTGCATCTTCTGATGAACTCTTTGTTGATGTTACACCGCCTATTGTTGTATTTCCACCAAACGTCATCAAAACGAATTCTCCTATTGAACTGTATGATTCATCTTTATTAAAAATTCAGTGGAAATTCAAAGATAATGAGAGTCCTTTATCTAAAGGCTTAATTTCCTTTCGAACAAGTCACAACAGTAAATTATTTCTTGATGACATTACTTTTTATGGAGATGACACAAGGACAATCTCCCTAGATACTTCAAAATGGTTAAGTTCTGGAGACAAATATAGAATAGTTGTGACGTCATGCAATGCAGCCAGACTTTGTACCTCGAGTGAGAGCGATGAGATAACCATTGATTCCACACCACCACTTGTTGGACATATTTTAGATAATGCCGTATGGTCCAATAATGATTTGAGTGTAATGCTTAAATGGAAAGATTTCGTGGATCCAGAAACACAGGTTGTGGCATATCATTTACATCTTAGCGAAACTCTCTATGGACGTGAAATCAGTGGACAAACCATCAAAGTACCTCATGATGGTGGTGTTCATGAAGAACAAAACGTTACCGTAAATATCACTCGAAAATTGGTTCAGAATGAGAAAATTTTGCTAGGTCTGTCAGCCACGAACAATGTTGGTCTTAATAGCAAAGCAAGACATGTAACGTTTTTAGTTCTTCCTACAAATAATAATGTGTCGCAAGGTAGACTACTGATCGAAAAACATTCATGTGATTCACTGTCTTGCACAAATGACTGTACATGTTCAGCTATTGGCAAGAAATGCTCAAACAATATAGGAATAATGCAATGCAGGGAATCAAATTTTACCATGAAACCTCTTCCCACATTATTTCAGATGGTTTAGAGTCACAACATGCGTATAGTGCGTCAACGCGTTGTCTATCTGCCTCCTGGAACTCAACAAGCGACATTTTTCGAAGGTATGAGTGGAGTGTTGGCATAGAAGGGTTCCCAATCGGATATGGAGTTTTTGATCTTCACAAGGAAAATCCCTGGAAAGACCTTGGCCTCGATACTCAGTTTGTTTATTGTCTGCCTCCTGGAAAGCAGTTTAAGCATATGCATTCATATGTTATATTTTTGAGATCATGGATTACGGACACTGACTATGTTATATCTGAATCGAAACCTCTTACCATCGATACCTCACCCCCACAGATAAATCGGGGTAAAACTATTATAGACTCGCTTGATAACTGTGCCACACATTCCAATACGGGGAAATCATTTCACGCTCTAAGGACGTGCTGGGACGGAGTGTTTTCTGATCAGCAGAGTGGAATAAAGAACTACAATATATTTGTTGGAACTGTGCCAGGGGGTAATTATATCCATGTTTTATTATTGAAAATTTATATTCTTTTATTTTTTTTTTTGAAAATTTATTCATGTTTCCTAACCACAACACAGGTTTTTCGTTTTTCAACAATAATGTTCAAGTTTCACCGTTTTCATTTTTGTACTCTATTCTTATCTTAATATTGTTGGAATTAAATATTTATTTTATAGGGCATGATGTCTCGGGCATACTCAATATTGGATTAGAATTGAATTTCACTTGGCACTTTTCAAACTTGCACCCAGGAGTCAAGTATTTTTCGACCATTCAAGCAGTTAATAACGTTGGTCTGCAAACAACACTGTTCTCCTCCGGCTTTCTTATTGACAATACTTCTCCATCGGTCGGCATTGTGTATAATACGGCTTTCTTCCAAAATATTCCTTGGCAACCGTTTTCGACTTCATTAACAGCAACCTGGCAAGGTTTTACAGATCACGAGTCTTTCATAAGTAGCTACTTTGTGGCTTTGGTAGATTCTGGTGGCAATGTCATTAAAGACTTTGAGAATGTTGGAATCCGGAATAAACATACCTTGTCAAATCTTACTTTAAATGTCCAGAAACAATACAACTTTCTTGTGAAAGCACAAAATTCTGTTGGTCTAAAGAGTAATGCAGTTTCATCTCATCAAATATCATTCGACGTATCAAAACCAAAAGGAATGAAATGCAAACTTTACAGTCAAGTAATATACAATATAACAATTTCTTCTATTGCCAAAGAAAACTTTATATCAGAGCAAATCAATGTTACAAAGGGTCAATACAGATTTAAGGTTCAAATACATACCCTTCATAAATTTTGGCATGATTCAATACACATTTATATTGAAGACACAAACCATGAAATACCAACGGATGATTTAGAAAATGGATTCCATTATCTATCTTCAACTGAAAAAACAGTCAATGTATTAGTGGATATCACAACACTAAGAATGTTGAACGATAATTTTACGATTCGTCTAACTGGAGAAAAATGTGTTAGACTTGAAGAAGCAAATGATAATGCTGTTACTGTTCGTCAAATATCTCCAAGTCACGTGACAATTTCTGTATTTATTGTGGATGAAGAAAGTGAAATCACATCTGTGGATGTGTTAGTTGGAACCATTAGAAACGCCCAACAGATAGCACACTTTTCCATGCATACTGGAATATTTGTGAGAACAATTCACATCTTACAACAACAAGCGACCCCAATCACCGTTTCCGTTTTCGCCAAAAATGGTGCTGGTCTTCAAGAAAACTTTTATGCTTTGCCCATTGCATTAGATCATACGGCACCCGTGCTTGTTGTCAAAGACGTTTTTGTTTCTTATGAAACAGATAATACAGAAGTAAAATCCATTTTCACAATTAGATGGAATGTAGAAGAGAAAGAAAGTGACATCCAGGAATGCTTTTGTGCTTGGGGTAAGTTTCTCTTTCCGAAATAAAAGCCAATAAGAAAATTGATCTTTCAAAATTCGAGGTTGCCTAGGTGTTACTACTTGGGTATTTTTAATTCTTATGAAATATCCTTCCAATAAATAGTGAAATATTTTGTTTCCAGGTAGCTTTATGGGTTCAGACACAATTATACCTTGGTTTGAATCAGAAAATAGGACAGAGTGCAGATCACCAAGTATGAGACTTCCACATGGCACAGAAGTGTTTGCTTCCGTGAAATGCGTCAATACGATCGGACTTAGTTCTGAGGTTAACGATAAAAATGTTACTATTGTGGCATACAAAGCACCAATCCCTACCCAACCAGAAGTGACTTTTGCTGTTAATAGCATAAAGATGATGTTACTGGAACATATCCAACATTCCACTACTTCACTCTATTTTCATTGGTTGAGTTTTCAGGATGCTACAGGGTTGATTAATTATAACTTCTGCATAAAATCCGATAACAATATAGTGTTGAACTCTGCTGATATTGGAAAGCATAACTATGTTTCTATTGATGATCTTGATCTTCAGTATAACGGTACCTATATAGCTGACGTCTACGCGGTCAATTCTGTTGGGAAAAGGAGTGACTCAATAAATGGAAGTATAAAAGTACTTGATATTGCTCCAATCCAAACAGGTAAGATAACTGCCGTCGTTGTTATAAGTATAATGAAGTGAATTCATTTTTTTTTATCAAAAATCGGAATTTTAATTTAATCATACTTTTCTTACTTCAATTAAAGGAAAGACATGCAACATTTCCATGGATGACGGAAAGCTAAATGTCACGTGGAATGGAGTATTCCAATTGGACACCAGGATAGACTATAGTTATACAGTGTTCATTGGGTCTCAAGCTGGTTATGCAGATATTGTGAGAAGTATGAAAACAAAAGATGACTCGGTCATTGTTCAAATAGACATGGACATACGAGATGTTTTTATTGTCATTACTGCTGAATATGCCGGGCGATTTCAGTCGACTTACAGAGAACACAAACAGATCCTGTAGACTGTTTTATTCCATTTGAGCTATGAAAGGTAGAAGTATCCGAGTTCTAAAATACAATTGTACTGGAATCCCGAGTTTCTCTAAGTTTTTTCCCCCGCTATTTTTCTCCTCAAGTCGCATTTTCCAATCCTGTGGACACGGTAGCCGAATATGATGTTCCATAAAAACCCTGTTCTAGATCTGTAAATTCTTCACTAGCAATCCTTTCACTGGAACCTGTGTCGATCAGCATCGAAACACATTATTTACATCTCACCTACGAGATCTAGGATTCAATTAACTTCTAATTAATTTAATAAATACAGTCATGTATTGCAAATCGGTCTCAAATCTTGTCCTCAAGGTCGAAATTCCCTTGATTTTCTCGTTCTATATGATGCCATACATAATTTGTGTTACAATCGTGCATGGATATTTGGGAAGTGAGTACCTGCACGGTCTCCTCCAGGCCAGAAGTTTTCTGTGTGACGAATAGTCCTGCTTTTGCGGACAGTCCAACTTCCGACATTAGATTGCTACTACATTATTCCCTTTAATTGTCTACAAGTTACGCCTCTTCAAATGTATACCTTCTGGTTTGGCAAACCTTCTAATTTCAGGTCTTATTCCCTAGCTATAGATCGATTGATCGTATATTATATAACGTCCCTCTCGAGAATTTTTCACTTATGTGGAGACGCCAACACTTGCCGGTGGAGAGCTGCAAATTTTGTCCTATACTCGGCATTGCCATTCATTGCCAAAATTGAGAAACAGGACCTCGGTTTACTGTAGATCACTTAATTTTCGCGACACCTTATTTTGCGAGATAAAACCTTTATTAGCGAGACAAAATTTTCATGAATTGTGGTCAGTGCTTTATATAACAGGACCTCGGTAATTATATGGTCTCGCGAATAAAAAGTGATTTACAGTATATGGTCTCATTCGAAGGACCGATCTCTCAAAGTGTTTGATCCAGACACCAATATCCTTTTATAAGCTTCAGAGAATAGAGATCTATCGTTTACCCACCTTAAAATTCGTGTACGAGTACTAAAGTGTACGGTAATCCACTACTATATATAGGACTTAAGCATATGCATGTATACATGTAGTAGCTGCCAGTTGGACTTGCGTGGCATCTTAAAACTGTTGCATAAATTTTCATAAAATGAAAATAAAATTCATCTACTCTCAATGACATTCAAGAACATATTGATCCATGATCAACTGAAAAGACAAAATAACGTAGAAATGAAAGAAAAAAGAAGGAAGGGGGTAAAAGACGAAATTAAGGCAATTTATACTCACAATGACCCCGGACCTTAGGACTGTAAGGAGTTATCATGATAGATGATTATGTATGTATAATGTTCAACGTCCCTCTCGAGCATTTTTCACTCATATGGAGCCGCCACCATTTGCCGTTGGAGAGCTACAAATTTGGTCCTATACTCGGCACTTAGGGCCATTGAGCAAGGAGGGATCTTTTTCGTGCCAGCACCTACTGCAAAACGGGACCTCGGTTTATGCGGTCTCATCCGAAGGACCGATCTCCACGTCCCACACTACGGGATTCGAACCTGCGAACCTTACTTCGCGACTCTAGAGCAGACGCTCTAACCACGGCGCCACGCGGGCGACTCGTGAAAGGTGAAACAGAAAGATGAAGCTCGACTGTTCAAAGAAGACATATTTTAGGATTTCAAGAGACAAAGATAGTTCTTAGTGTGTTGTAGCTAACGCTCATTTTAGTTATTGAATAAAGGAAAATGATAACCATGTGTTTACTTCAAAGACATACAGTACGAAAAGTGTTATAGTTATAGGCCTAATGGTTTTAACCTATACGTCTTAAATGCATCGGGTTCGATCTTCGCACAATTAAACTGACTTTCAGTTTCACTGTGGTCTGTCGAATTTCTATTTTGTAAATGTTGAAATGGACCTGGAACGTATACGATGTAATCAGGGTTTGTATGCTATGTTTTTTAAACTAGTTTAAAATTAGATTTGCTTTTTTTTTTTATATATCTGACTAAACTTTAACATGTTTAGCTCTAATTTGAAGGAGTCGTATAAGTACCTGAATATTTATGTAAAATGCAAAAAACTGCTGAGGAAGAGCGTTCAAATTGATAAAGCTTTATCAAAACCAAAGGATGGAGGAGTTCCATACAAGACACCGGGTATTTATACGTTTAAACAGAAAAGAAAAGTGATTTACCTTGGCATGTCATCAAAGGATATACGAACCCGACTTCAGGTAATCTAGCACTTGGGACCGTAGCTGCAGATCTGTAGCTCTCCGAAAAAATATGTATTGACGAAAAAAAAATCGGAGAGCTACAGTTCTGCAACTATTGGGACCGGTATCATTAAGGAATCTCTGAACGATTACTGAATGTTTTTTAACCATTACTGATTTTTTCACATCAAGCAATCCTCTCTTATATTTATACAATACATTATGTATATATAAAGTTTTAATATTTTTAAAAAACACATTCTTTCAAAAAGTATTTTGCACGTTTGAGAAGCGGCAGCAGATTCAGAACATCTAATTTTAATAAATTAGATTGTATTTTCTGTCTACTTACCATATGTGGATTATTTTCAGGCTCTAGCAACTCTCTTGATCCTTAAAAAACATAATGCAGCTTTAATAACAGTATTTCATTCTGTTTTACAATAATGATCAGTAGTTATGTAATCAGTCACTTAATTAAATGCCTTTATCTTTAAATAGGCACACCTAAACAACAATGATCAGCAAGAAGTGGGTTTATATCTTCAGAAGTGGCACTTTAATGCCATCACTGTGTCCTGGGTGAAGGAAACGAAGGCTGAAGTAAAGGAGAGACAATACCTAGAGATAATTACTAATCTACAAAACAGTGTTCCATACCTCAATAAGACTGCTGGGAATTCAAGGAAAGCCACAAAAAAATACTCTTCTTGGAGAATTCTTAGGTGATTTCTATTCTGCAATGTACATCTTAAAAGGGTGATATACTTTGCTGAACCCAGGGGCACATGCCAAGCCATTAATTTGATCTAAACTCTGTTGTACAAATGTGAAAAAATTGATGCCCTAACCATATCACAACATGCTAGATCATGACTTTGATCAAGTTTTTAGCTTTGGGGTCATGGTCAAAACATGTTCTGGATCAATCTGGATAAAACAATAAATTACTAGTATTATTAAAGACTTTTCTTATACGTAAAGTTGGTGATTTTTTAATACAGTTATTTGGCCAGTTCCGAATAAGAAACCGATTCGACGGTGCTACAAATATATTAGGAATTATTTCAAAATCTAAGTGTTTTTCAACTTGGTAGTTCGATGACTTAAAGATATGAATTATATTTTTTTTCATAAAAGTTCGAAAGCCTTCCCTAAAAAAAATTTATCGTTATAAAGTTACCATAGGTGTCCATTTTACCAGTTACGTTATAAATAAGCCGTTATAACGAGTTAATTATCTCGTTATAACCCTAGAGATTCGTTATTACAATTCAACCCTAAATTTAAAATATACGTCCGTTATAACGATCCATTGGCATGCGTTAGAAAAGTTAAATTAATTGCTTACCAATAAATTATTTGTATTTCCAAAGGTTAAGAGAAACATACGAGTTAATTACTGTTATGGGCACTAACTCGTTTTAACGAATTAGTTACCCCACGCCTCCTTTATGATTATTTAGGACAAAGTCCGTTATGTTTTACTCGTTATAACGAGAGATCTCGTTATAAATAAATGTCAGTTATCAAAAAGTAAAATAATAGTTATAACAATGTCACAATGCAATAAAGAATATGTGAAAGTATCATTAAATCTTATTCAGTGTTATAACGAATTAAATCTCGTTATAACAAGAGTTATGGATATACCTTTCAATATTACTCGTTATAAAGAATTAATTAACTCGTTATGTTTTTCTCGTTATAACGCGATAATTATCTCGTTATAACGAAATGATAAGTTTCCCCTTTATTTCCAAAAATAGCAATATAGGAATTAAAAACTTTTCAATGCCATTGATGTTTGTATAATTATCAACGTAACTTTAAAATTGATATATAGTTGCAAATTTAATTTGTGATATGGTTTAAATAATATTAATTCTGAACTATCTGGCTGTCAATAATCACAGGTTGATAAACTCTTTATTTGAACACATTTACACATTTATACGTGAACGTGTCCAAGGACATAATATTAAAAAAAATATATTGCCAAATGTACTTGCTTCAAAGTTTGGCAATTTATGGTATGGATAAAAGACATTTTTTTAAAATATGTTTTGGATATAGCTTTCATAATCAATGTCTAAGAATCTAAATTAATACATTATAATAGCAGCCTAACGCAGGCATTAATGCAACATATATTAGATACACAAAAATGTTTTGAGGAAGGGGGACATGGAAACATCAGCAGTTAGGTCATGGGCGTAAACATCCCAGTTTACTATATATGCTTCTTCCTGTTTTTCAAGTAAACAATACAAAACAACTGCATCGTTTATACATAAACGAACTACAATCAAAGGCACAACCCCTCGATAAAACAAAAAATATATTGCAAAATCTTTATCAACACACTTTAAAAAAATATCGTATCGTTTTATATACGATTTTGTAATATCGATATATATATCAATACCAGTGTTTAACTCGTTATAAGGAAAAATTTTGTTATCATCAAAATGATTATAATATAAAAAAGGAATTATGAAAGTTTGTTATTAAGACAAACAGTAAGACAGAAGTTGTTATTGTGGGAACTTTATAACGAGCATAACTTAAATGAAATCAACAAGATTTTTTTCTTCATGTTGGTTACTCGTTATAACAGTTTTGTAAATTCTGCATGTAAATTAAAGTAAATATATAAGAAAATGCCATTTTTATTACATCGTTATAAATATTGCAAGTACATTATAACGTGAATACAGTTAAAAATATCGCAATATATCGCAATACGAAATCTCTGGCCAATACCCAGCCCTAGTTTACAATGAAGAAAACATCGAAGAGTGAATTTATAATAGTGTTTAAAATGGGTATTCGGAACGTTGAGTCCATATTTATTATATTATATAAATAATATTAACCCAAATTTATTTATTTGTATATCTTCCTTGTGTTTACAGAGAAGTATTTATTTAAATGTAAGTTTTTAGAATTTATATGTTAGAGGAACATATCGGTAATAAATTTTAACCAATACGTTGATAAAAAATTTATGCATCTAACAGAGGTACCCCCTCCCCAGACTTATCGCGTCGCGGTTACCCTTGCAGGGGAAATTATTGCACTGACAAAATATAAATATTTATGTTTCTACGATACAATCACACATGGCAAACGTCTTTATTTTTTTTAGTCTCTGTAAGGGCAAAACATGCATCAAAACTGCTCGCCGTGGAAAAGTCTTTCAAACAATGAAATGGTATGTGCTAAGTATTACCGGAAAATGTTCACAGAAATCTTGTAATTGTTATTTTTACACCAGATTTCTTTGCTATATCTTATTAATTTTCCTCACTTAAATTGCAAACTAATTATGTTTGTCTAAAGCGAAAGTGAAAACGAGGCAGCTCGTGCAAGTCATTATTCGCTTTCAGCGGCCGTTATTAAAAAATAATTACTTCGTATTGACCAATCAGATTACCGGATTTCACAAAGTTATATAATATAACGAGATAATTAACTCGTTATAACGAGATAACTAACTCGTTATAACGAGATAACTAACTCGTTATAAGAAAATTACAACTCGTTATAACGAGTATTAATGTCCTTTTTAATTGGAACTCGTTATATCGAGATATTAACTCGTTATAAAGATATGAACTCGTTATATATTTTTTTTTATGTGCAGAAATGAACCTATCCGGCTTTCGTAAAAAACAGTCACGTGTAATGACGATTGTTTATCCTTTGCAGAGGACGGAGACAATGTTCTTGTAAAGATCTAAAACCTCCAGTTAAATAGTGAAAAAAACTCACACAATTTTTATTCTTTCTTTGAAAGAAACGACTTGCCAAATTTATGTTGAGTCACTTTTGTAATAACGTCTTTCCTGATATACTTTATTTTATCAAATAAAATATACAACATGACTGTTGTATATTTTATTTGATAAAATAAAGTATATCAGGAAAGACAATAATAAAAAAAAAAGTGCGTGGCCTCATTTAAAAACCATTGTTTATTACAAACGTTATCAAAATTTAATATCGTACCATTTTTTAATAAATACAAATACTATCCAACATTACAACTAGATTTATATCATTTATGACAGTAATCATAAACTTTCAAATATTATCAAACATGTATTTTAACTAGAAGATGTATAGAACTAAAACTCGCAGCCAGTTGACGTTTTTAACTTTTCTTTTCATAAATAAAAATTCCTCATTCTATAAAATATTATTACACTGATTTTAGAAGAGCAAGTTGAAATCCCTGTAACATTAACTTACCGGTGAGTAGCCTGTCTACCTTTAAAATTGACCGTACTAAGAGCAAGCTCTTGGCTCATTGAGTAGGGAAGAAGTTGGAAGACATAAGCACCAGTATGCAGATGAAAGCGGAATATTACTGACTACATGAATAAGGAAAGTTGACGATGGAAAAGCATGGGTGAATATCATAAAGTTGCTTGTTTTAAATTTGCCTATAGATATTTTCTATAGTCCGTAAAACATCCAAATATGAAACAGATGTGGCAGACTCTGTGGTGTCTTTTATCTCAAGTTCACTGGGATATGTCGTGTAGACATAAAAATAAAAATATCTATTATAAATTGTTAATTTATAAAACATCGTCGATAAATCTGAATGTCGATTAGAAGGCCACAGCTAGAATTTCCTCTCATCATGTAGATGTTTTATTAATTTAAAAAAATCTACTTCATAGGAAGAATTACGCACGTTTACTCTCGATTCCCGCCTACATTTTACAAATATTTAATTTATTGATGACAATTTGGCCATAATTTTTTTGTTTAATACAAAGAACAGTTCAATGGCAATTGATTATTTATTTTAATACCAGTGCTAAATAAAGAAATATCCGGCATAATTCCAGCTCTTGAAATAAGGGGGGTGGACGATATTTTCCATTGAAATCGGGCTTTAAAGCATCACTATATTCTAAAATAGTCTTGGATATGAATAAATGTTTCGTAAATCTTTTCTTATACGTTTAATACATAATATCATAATCATATATTAGTCAAATACAATGTTTCAGTTGAAAAGCGCTTTGAAAATGCTGGGGGGGGGGGGTATTTTTGTCGTTTTTTGTCTATAAAAATAACCCCCCCCCCCTGAAACATTAAAAGCTTTGGCATAAATTTGCTAGACGGTCCATATTACCCATAAAAAGGAATTTTTGTTTTACGGGGGGGGGATATTTTAAAAACATTTTCCGTTTTCCGTTTTCATGAATTCCAATAGCTTTTTGGAAAATGGACTTACAGTTATTATTTCAACTGAATTTCATGTAGTGGCTCAACTCTCAGCCGGGAAATCTTCCTATGAAGCGATTTTAAAAATGTCGGGCTCGATCATCACATAATTCTGTGTCTTCCCGTGTAAACAACCGGGAAAATCTTTCAAGTTTCTAATAAATACTCCCTTAACATCTGAAAAAGTCATGGATTTGTTATCTTATGATTGGGGACTTTGGAAAAATCTAGTCAAAGAGATTTCAAGCACTCAGGATGCTTCCTGTTTAAATGCTGCAGTTCAGTGGTATGAAAATGAAACGATGTCTAATTACGGTTGTCAGCCACAGTGGTCAGAATTCCTGAAGAGTCTGCAACAGGAGGAGCCTATCATTCAAAATGGAGAACTTAAATGGCTTCCTATTTTCCAACACCTATCCCATGGATTACAATCAGTCTTCCTGCAGCTTGTGCTACACTTCAGGCACAGAATACCTACATCAGAATTGGCAAACTTCACCAAAGTCATTGCGAGTTTTGTACATAGTAATGGTGAAACTTGGATTGATGCATACATACGAATGCTAGTAGCTCATTGTCAGTTGTTTAATACGGACATATCGAATGACTTTAAGCAAGTGGAAGGATATGTATTCACTACAGACAATGAGGAGATGGCAAACTCAGTACTACAACAGCTGACAACAGGTCAAGGTCGCGTGGCTCAGTCATCACAATTTTCTCCACAAGGTCAGGAGGAGGACAACATAAGATTAGATCCTACATTAAATGAGACCTCTCCTGTGGATAATTGTATCGATAAAAGTACCCTCGAGTCTGTAGAACTGGATGAGTTGATAGAAGACAATGGCACAGAAGAACCAGCTGCAAAGAAAGCCAAAGTATCCAAGGAAACACGAGAACCAGATAAAATATTAGAATCTCTAGATACAGCAACACAGGCTGATTTGATGAAACTCAGAGAACACTGGCAAAATGAGTACAAAGATTTTCCAGAAGAATTTAAACTGTTTTATACTTCAACTCCAAACCAGGTCAGGGAATACTGCAGATTTATGGATCT